ATTGAGATATCTTCAGATGCTCTCCATGTAACCTTCTTGTTTTACCATTAACAGTTTAATCAATTAGATCCAAGATTCTGTTTGATCAACCCATTCAAAGCCTTAATTATTTGCTAAATTCAAGTTGATACCTGAGAGGAAATCAGTGGGATTGAAATAAGCTAAGTAAATCCTAAGTGCGCTAATTATTTCAACTCGAAATGTCTTAAAGTCATGCATCAAGTTGCTCAAGAATTGGAACCCATTAAAATTGCTAATGCAGCTTAATGCAATTTCATGTTCAGATGAAAATGATTACTCAAGTTTTCTAAAAAATAAATTCTTAATCCAAATCTCTTACAGAGAATTTTTACAAACAGATTTTATTTAACATTAGTAAATCAGTTAATTGAATGGAAACAATTCTCGCACTTCAATCGGCAAGAATGCATGCAGTGAACTAAAGCTAAGGGAAACAAAACAGCAAAGGCAAAGACATCGAAAGAATCTTGAATGGCTTGACGCTTTTTGATCATTTGCGCAAGTCTCGTTCACTTAACGAGCACAACATTACTCGAAGGTGAGCCTTTCCCATTGGAATAGTGTAAACAACGCACTTGAGCCATTCATGACTTGCAGGTTCTGCTTAATGAGGCATTTTCATAGTAACAATAAATCTTTATTTAGTGTCGACATTTTCGGTGCAATATAAAAATTCAAGGGTACACAGGGCCGATACAGTTTCATACATTCTGCTACATTATTCAGCAAGTGCACTCAAATTTTGCAAAATGCATATCGATTGTCATCCATTGGATTTTTTTATGAACAAGACTAGTGTTTTATTAGTTTTGAATAGTTTGTCTTTAAGAATGCATTCGAGCAAATGTCATTGGTATGTTTGCTTACGGCCTACTCTCAACAGGATCACCAAATACGGTTTTTCTTCATACTATTGTGTCGATCAGTAATATCAGCCATATGCATTTCGTACTCGTAATTGTCGTTAATAAAAATATTGTATTCCTCAAATCTATTCAAGAATAGACAAAAATTATACCTCGGCTTGTGTCTCCAGAAGTAGCTAGGATGTGAACATGGAATAAATAGAAAATTTCCTTTAATTCCACTATTTGTAAGCTTTCATGGGAAATTATTTTCTATTGAAATCAGTTTACTCCAAGAATATAATTTTGACACTTTCTTCTTCCCTACATGATGCTGATTGTCTCACCATTCCCTTCGTCACTAGTTTCAGCATTTAAAAACTGAATTTCCAGACGCAATATCAAACTGAGCTCATTAATCAAAGTTTTTCTCCAAAGAAAATCTTTAATCTCATTTATTAATGCAATTCATTTTGCATTTATTCACATTGACTAATATCCAAAAATATTGAAAATAATGATTATTTGATTCAATTCAATGCGATCCAATCTTGCAAAGTTTCATTTTGAGAAAAGTTTTATTTTTTCTTTTCACGGAATATTCTGAAAATAGTATTTCATTTGATTGTATTTAATTAACTTGAAAGGATTTTTATTTCTCTATTATTTTCATGCAACTTTCATGATAAAATTGATTTGATTGATTCAATAAAAAACAAGTCACTAATTAATATCAACTAAATTCACTTGTGAACAATTATAGGAACAGTAATGCAAATGAAAAACTGGGAAAACATTAGATTGATCAACTTCGATTAAAATTGAATTAGGAAAGAAACTGATTATCAAAGTAAAGGTAAAAATAATGAAAGGTTTGATTAAAGTTACATTACTGATTGCTATAAGGTATACAACATACTTGTGATCTTAACCACCTGAAAGCACGCAAATATTCACTTTATTTCAATTGCAACATTTTTTTGTATTAAATTGTTTCCAATCCTTCCCAGTTCTTGTTGGCTTGATTCAACTCATAAGTTTCTTAACCGAAAAGTCAACTTATTGTTTCAATAAGCATCAACTAAAAGCTTTTATTGTCATTACTATTCAATATTAATATCATTTGTCAACAAAATCAAAAAGTTGTTTAGTAAATGAACAATGGTGAAGTACAAGTATAAATATACTCAACTTGAAAGTGAAAAGAATTAGATTCAATCTTTTCATAATTATTGTGTTTCCCTGGAAAAAACAACAAATAGTTCTTTATACAGATACACTTATCTTGAAATCTTTATTTAATCAAAGATTATCATAATAAATGAAGTAAATAAACTAATCTTGGCTTTTGAAAATTGTGGTTAAGTAATATAAATGTTTGGTTGAAAGATATTCAGCTATTAATAAAATTGAGACTTGGTAAGATTAAACCTGAATCATGGAGAAGAATCATTCCGTGCAGCGTATCAAATGGAAGGTGAACGAGTTTGAATGACTTTTTTCAATGTTGAAATATTATTTACCCACGACTTTGGTAGGAACATAAGCCATTCATAAATTGTAACGTTAAATGCCAAAAAGGAATGTATTTTTTTGAAACTTCTAAGTCAAAACATCGCATCGTTACCACATCATTTTTTATATCACATTTTGTGCAGTATTTTGAGCAAAATAATTTATTGAAAATCAAGCGAGTATATTGTACAGACTCTGATCAAGTTTGCGCATTTTGAAAAAAAACAAATGATGGGAAAAATTGTTTACATGAGTAAAATTTTCTTGTTATAAATTAATTTTGTCTAAAATACTTGATCTTTTGAACATAGATAAGATCTTTGTTTAAACACTGTCTAAGATAGATCGTGTTAGATCTTTTCAATGCAATTTTTTTCGTGTCGTTTTCTGAAAGTACGAGATGGAAGGCCCATTTTGCACCATCTGCACCTGTAGGCTGATTTCACTTCAGGTGGCATGGCCAAATCCTCTTCATCAAATGATTTTACCAAATTATGATCCTCTGGAGTTAAACCCCAAGGAATATTATCGTCTCTTTCATCCAGACGCACAAGAGTGTCCTCCCATTTCACAACAGCGACATGGAGTCTTTTACCGTTGCACTTGATGAAACCATGTCGTAAAATCTTTTCAATAGGGTAGTAACCCGCCTTATAAAGCACAGATGGTCCTTCAATGCTTGGCTCATCCATTGTGGATGGACCTGGCATGCTTGCATCATCGATGGAGCGCTTATTTGAACTTCGACTCAGGTTACTCATTTTGAAATAAAAGATGAACTTTGAATATTTTGTTATAAAGTCTATAAGAGGTTGTTAATGAATAAATGCTGTTTGACTTTCTTCGGGTTTATATACCATTAACATTTGAGATATCAATTCGATAATGATCTTAAGTAGTTTCAATGGGAAAAAACCGTGAAATGCTTTTCCTTATTTATTCCATGATCATATATTGGTATCTTGGTATCTTATCAATAACATTGGTATCTTGATTAGTGTTTGAGCAGCCAATTTTCATCATTACTTGAGGGTATGGCTCAATCAGTATCAGTGTAAAACTTTCTACTTACTGGTTTACTTAAATGGTGTTAAGGTTCATTTCTCGCAAAAACAAGGGAGAGAAAAACGATCTTATCTGAAGATTAAGATGAAAGCACAAAAGTAAAAGGTCAATCAAAATACCTAAGCAAATACAAGTGACCGATTCATATTTATCGTCATATTATCACTATTTTCATCTATATCTTCAGATAAGATCGTTTTTCTCTCCCCTGTTTTTGCAAGAAATAAACCTTAACACCCTTTACAATCACTTTAATGATTCCACTCTGAGTATCCAGTTAAACTCGAGTCTATTTTGATTGATCAATGAAAGAGAAAGATTGAGTTATTGACTCAATTTTCACTTGTTTATTAAATAAGATGCAAAGTTGTAAGTGATTTTGATGTTGAAGTGATTGAAACTTTTTAAGATAATAAAGATAATGGTAAAGGCGAACAGATGATGATCATGTTAAATAAGTGCGAGCAAAGGAAAGGCGGCAACCAAAATGATTGATGATTTAAAATAATCAATTGAAAGTCTTTTGTTGCATTAAACCGTTAGTGCCCAAGTTAACAAGAAATTGATTTACTTGCGTGTTTCCAATGCATGTGTTTCACCATTTTCATCCGCTTCATTCTCTTCATTCTCATCTTCTTTTTTTGCATCATTCAACAATATCCTTCTACTGGTAATAATGATGTCTCATCATATCAACAAATTGATGGACATGAATTTGTCTACTTATCAACCACAAAACCTGCAAAGTGCAATTTATTGATTGGAAATTTTCTTGTCATCGAAGAAAATCCTTTGCAAAATCAATCAACAGAACATGTTTCAATTTTTTGCACTTGAAAATGATCGATTATCGAATGGATAAAAGTTTACAAAAGTTTCTTCCAAAGTTACGTTATCATTCAAATCTGATATTCTTAAATTGTTATAAAAATATTAATACATTTTGCATAAAGTTTACTTTACTCTTTAGATTCCACTGAACTTGGAATAGTCGATAAAGAGATTTTCATCTTTTCTGTTTCGATTACAAGTTTGATTACATTTTCATAACCAAAGAAAACCAGTTTCTTGGTAAATTGAGTTGTTTCATTAAGATTGATGTTCGTTCAAGATTGATTTTCATTGAATATCGTTCTTGCAAATTCTTTTTAGGTTAAGATTAGTAAATTTTTCACTTTTTTATCGCTGATTAAAACTGGTTGGGAAGCCTCAATTGATTCATTCTGTTTGACAAGTAACCTCGGGCGACTTGATGCACTTAATGAAAGTAATCCATTACACAAGTCTGCTTAAAACTCTTTGTATTGAAGGTTGAAGATTTGGATAATGAATTGATGAATAAAATTGAATGAATTATGGTTGATCAATTCATGGCTATGCAACTCATTGTCTTATCACTTTTTTCATTAGCGAATTTTGTAATTGAACTTTACGCATCTAATTACAATTTCACAATTTATGTCATTAGATGATTGAACATGTTTGCAGTGAAATGTAAAGCAAAGTGTTTGATTGAAATGTGTCGAAATTTAATTTTGTTTTTTATTGTTTCAGGTTGCTCGATTAAGAATCCGTCGTAAACCAGGAACCAGAATAGTGTTGAATGTTAAAAATAACTGTGAATCCACCAAAAGTCTATCAGTGCCTTGTAATGTTGAAGTGACAACCACAAACTTTTCAAGTGACATGTCGACCAATACAACAGTAACAACCACAACCGCCTCAAATCCCAGTCCTGAAAGGTCATTTGCAAGTCAAAGATTCTCAGTCTGTCCAAGTATAGCTAGTCAAGTTATCGAAGAGAGTTCAATCATTCAAATTGACTCAAACCCAAATGCCAATGGATCTTCACCTTCTCCTAACGCTGATGATCCAGGCTTAGGTTGTGAAATTGACTGTCCAAATTTAAACAGCACCTTTGAGTGCAATCGCAACCATTTGTCAACCTCATCTCCAGCCAAAGAATGCCTTATACCACCGACAACACCTTCCAATCGAAGTGGACTCACAACGCCAATCCACAGTAATCCAGTTGAAAGAGAAAAGTATACTTCGGAAAATTGTGGTGGATCGACGATCGACATTGACGATGACTGGAACTTGATTGGCCAAGAAATATCAGTAACAAGTGATGTTGTTGTTACATGTGATTCAAGAGGAACCAGTTATCATTATGCTTCAGTTACCAACAAGGACAGTTGCATGGAGAGTGGCAAAAGAGGGAAAAGCAACTCATCGATATCCAAAAAGAACAAGGCAAACAGTGTCAAGAATAATTCGAAAAGAAAAGCACTTCGAATAACGACGAGTTTGATTAGTCCAAATAAAGAAAAGTCGACTCGAAATTATGGCTCTTGTGGAAGGTCAAGTCGAATGAGTTCAACCAATGGAAGAGATTCATTAGAATCAAAGAGAGAACGAAAAGCGGCCAAAACATTAGCCATTATAACGGGAATTTTCGTCATTTGTTGGCTTCCATTTTTCATTGTCGCTCTTCTTTCGCCCATTTGCGGTCCACCTTGTGATCCACCCGCTCTGTTGACCAGCCTTTTCCAGTGGTTGGGTTATGTCAATTCAATGCTCAATCCTGTGATTTACACCATTTTCAGTGCCGACTTCCGAACTGCTTTCAAGAAGATTTTGCTTGGAAAACGAGCGGTTCATCGATCTCAAAATCGAGTGTAGAATATTGGAAAAAAAGAAATTTCGATTTTTATTGTGCTTCAAGTTTCCTTAAACAGTGGCACCAAGTTTTTGTACCAATTTGGATACAGTTGTCGACCTCAAAGTGAACTGCAATATTTATATGAGAATTATTAGAGAAACATTTTTATTCTGTTTTATTTTGCCACCAATATTGATAATGATGCCTTGCAATTGGCTGATGTTTCCTTGATTTATTGAATTCTTGTTTCTTTCAGCATAAATAGTTGAAAAGAGATTATCATGAAGCAGATGAATTGATGAAGAGAAGACAAAATGTGAGAAATGTGTAAGTTTTGGCTGGACAAATGTTTATGGTTAAATAATCTTACCTCAGTATTTTTGTTGTTGTTCTCGCTGGTCCAATGGTCCAGCAACAAAGTAGCCACGGTCAGTTTATATTCAATTCTTATTGCTTTTTATTATTTTTCCTGTTCATTCAACCATGGAAAACAGTGAAACAAAAGTAAATGGATCATCACAATTGTCATTCAGTTGAACCTTATTTTGTTCTTCAATCATTTAAGCTCATTGATAAAATAATAACTGGATAATCAAATAAAACAATTTACATCAGTTCAGTTATTAGAATGCTTTTAATGTAAATTTTTTCCATCAAATTTACATTAGGCAACAAAAGAAGTACAATGTTTTAGTTGAATCAACAAAAGTCCGAAGAGCAACATTTGTCATGGTGGACATTCGAGTATAACTATAAATAGCAAATGAAAAATAAATTAAAACACGAAAAATGTTGAAAGAGAAATGTTTTCATCTTATTTTTAGATTTTGTAAGATGTATTCGGAAATTGATTCGTGGGTAGAAATGGATTAAAAAAGATTTGCATTCACTTGGAAAAGAATTTGTTTTTCAGACTAAAAATAAAGTTGGAGTTACAGTTGAAGTTGTAGACACGGAATGTGCTCGGACAGGGAGTTTTCCCTATCATGAGTGTATCATGTTCACTCATTCACACCCTCACTTTCATGTCAGTTCATCCTCTGACTTTATATTTAATCAAATTAATTTCATGAGAATGAGACGAAAAGGTAGGAGGTAGAAACCAAGATAATGTTTAACTTTCAGATCACTCATGCAAAGGGTGAAAAAACTCAGAAAATTGTAAGATCTTGAAATTTTTACTTTTTTTATTATGAAGGGTAGTGATGCCCAAGAACAATCCCAATTAATCATTTAATTCAATTTAATTCAATTTAATTTTCATTTGTCGAAAAGCTTCTAAGCTTCAATAATTTTCTTATCATTTAAAGTTTGTAATTTTGTGTTAATCCCTGAAAGATGACATCATTGTAATTGTTTACTGTTGTCTTAGATTCAAGGTTGTCAAGGAAAGCTTCTAAGCTTGCTTCATTATTCCTTTTCCTTTTTCTTTTGTTCTTTCCTTCCGTTATTAAGGGTATATAAGAAAGATTTAAATCTTTAATTAATTGTCTTCTATGATCTACAAAGGTCTTATATGATCTTTAAAAGTCTGATCTTGATTATGTTAACTTAATGATTCTAATCATTCTACTTCATCTTTGACTTCCAAGTCTATTCCATATTCAGTTTATTTTATGTTTAATAAATTTCTTTTGGTTTTGTAACCTTGTGCTTTCTTGCCTTAAATTGTGCTTTGATTAAGTCTGAGTTTCAATTCTTAATTGTTCATCTTTAAAGTGATGCTTGATTTGAAAGCTGCTGAGTTGGTTTTGATTCTAATCATTTTGGTGCTAGAAATTCAATTCTCTTGTTTGAGTTTATTCTGGTTGAGTTTGGAAACTCGTTTTGGCGCCTGATAAATCTTTGCTTTCTAAAGCTTCAACATTCCTGTCTAATTAGTTCAAGCTTGCTAAAGCTAACTCATCTTGGTAAAGTGTGACCAGTTAGTCTATTTCCTGTCTTGTGACAATATTCCTGTTTGACCAGATTTGTGGTTTCGACTATTGGTAATCTTTGGTCTTAGCTGAAATTGAACTCTTTGTTTGCTCTTGGTTTTACTTCAACAGTAATCTTATTTTGAGTTTAGAAACTCTTTGGTGATCCTAAAAGAACCTGAAACTTCAGGATTTGAAAGGCTGAAGAAATCTTCTGAGTGTAATTGAATTCTAATTCAAAGTTTAAATTAAATTAAATTTAATTGTGTTTAATTGTGCTCGTGTTTTGAAACATTTAAATATGGTACACTCCTTTCAAATGGCGACCTCGGCAGGATTGCCATCGATTGATTCAACTCTAGTATATGAGTATTGTTTTACTTTGATAACGGATAAAAACAAAGATGCTGATACAAATCAACCTGAAGCTCCTAAGCTATTGAAAGACCTCGATGTTCAAGATATGAAAAACCAGTTGAAAATGTGGAAAGTCCGATTCATAGACAATGAACAAGTTATTAAACTTAAGTTTTACGATGTGGTTAAAACCTTGTTTACTTTATATAACTTTCCTGAAGCTACACAAAAGATCATGGAAGTAACTGAACAAAAGCAACTTATACTTTTACAATTTCCTGATTGGATGGCCGAATTGAGAGAACAGAATGTATCTGAGAAAGATCTTCGAGAGATTCTTGATCGATTTGGTTTTAAACCAAATGCAATGGTGCTAACTCCTACTAGTGCTATAAAACAAATGTCAATCAGTTCTCCGGCTAAAAAGCTATTAACTATTCTTCTGGAAAATTGGAATAAAACTGAAGTGCCCTGTTCTATTGGTAAAGCAGTTATTAAACCTGGTATTGATTTGGATGGTATGCTGAATTCATCTAGATCAACTCGTGGAGAGGTTGAAGATGAAGAAACTGATGGTGAAGAAGAGGTTTATAAACCAAGTACATCTCGAGCTGACACAAGTCACAGAAGTCACAGAAGTCGACGTAATCAAGAACGTGAAGTTCATTATGATGATAGATCTAGAGATCGTGTTGAAGAGAGCGATGATGATGAGGATGAAGCTCCTCGAAGGCATCAACGTCTAACCTCTAGTGCTTACGATAGGTGCAAACCAAAGCTGCCAAAACTTAAGAGTTGGATAAGAAAAAGCATACGAGTAAAAGTTATATTGCTGCTCTTGAACGAAAGCTGAGGAATCCAGCGGTGATTTCGCAGGCTACTGCAGATTTTCATAATCTGAAATGGAACTTCGATATGAATCCTGAAGATTTCATTCGTAAGTTGGAGATGATGGTGATAAAGGTTAAAGGTGAACCATCACCAAGTGAATTCATACAAGATGTATTGATTCGTATACCTTCTGAGGTAAAAGATGTGGTGATCAGATCGAAGTCTGTTCACGATATTCAGGACTTAACCGCCGCGTTAGTCAATGAATATAATATTGAAATGCGAAAACGCAATGAAAAAGGTGATAAGAAGGAATCTTTCCGGATGGATAGGAAAGATACGAAAAAGGAGGAACTGAGGAATGCTAATTCCAGTCCTTCTAAAGGTACGGGGAAGCCCCCTTTCAGGTGCTACAATTGCGGAATTTTGGGACATACGTCAAGAGACTGTCGCAAACCGAGAAGATCTAATTCTAATTCTAATTCAAATGCTGATGCTAGACCTAATGGAAATGGTAATGGTAATCAGAATCGATTTCAGCCTGCTCAATTGAGAATGGCTGGAGTTCAACCGACGTTTGGTCAAGGTCCAAAGGAATCAACCAACTTTGTCAGTGAAAAGGCAATGCCAGTTTATGATGATAGCCAGCTTCCTAAAGCTCCGGTTAAACCAGTAAATGTATGCTACATGATACAAGAAACTCAACAAGTCGAGCTAATAACGAACATTGATGATGGAATACGAAATTTTCCTACGATTAGATTAACAATGTGTTATCCTAATAGAGATTTTATTAGAATCGGCGATGTGTTACTAGACACAGGAGCATGCACTGCTTGTATTGATTTAAACTTGGCAAAGCAAATGAAGGCTTATATTATGGGTTCGAATGTAGCAGTTCGAGGCATATTTGCAGACAGCGTTCAAGCTGTAGATGGTGCAGCCTATGCAATCATGAAACATCCTAAGATGACTGAATCGAGGATCATTAAGTTTCAAGTAATGAAAAACTTGGAGCCGATCATGGTTTTAGGAAACCGTTTTGCTGATGTGTATTTCACTGGTATGGTAAATTATGGTGGACGTTATCAAGTCAATTTACGTGAGTCGGTTGGAGGTGAATGGCTCAGTCCTGAGCTAAGTTTTAGATTTTGTACCGCAAATGAATCAATTCAATTGGTTGGACAGCCTGAGGTACCAATGTTGGTTAATGAAATTGTGACAAGAGTCAATGATCTTTCATTAATGCCTTATACGCCTTATGCTGTTGATGAAATTGTTTCTAAACAATTAGTTGAAAGACAAAATTTTATGATGGAATTGTCTTTGAGCAAGGAATTTGAGAATATATTCCCTGTGTATTTTCAGCAAGAAAAAGCTGAACCGAGTTTAGCTGAAAGGCTAATGAAAAGGATGGATCCTAATTTGGATGATGATAAAAAGGAGGAACTATTGAGCATTCTAATGCAGTTTCCTGAAGTTTTTAGCCAAAACAAACAAGATCTTGGTTTGGTTCCATGGCAGAGATGGCCAATCAAGATTGACATCGGTGATAATCACGTACCATTTCAGAAACCGTATCCATGTACAATCGAGAAACGCAAAGAGTATGAAAAAATCATTGCGGATCTACTGAAAAATGATATTATTGAGGATGGATCGCATTCTGAAGGAGGTTCGCCAGCTATGCTAATTGGTAAGCCTGACGGATCATTTAGATTATTGAATGATTTGAGAGTGGTAAATAGACTTACTAAAGTGATTTTCCACCCGATGCCGAGAATTGATGATTGCTTAGAAGCAATAAGAGGAGCTAAATACTTCAACATGTTTGACCTGTATCAAGGTTATTTTCAAATTGAGATACCTCCTAGTGAAAGAGCAAAAACAGTATTTGTAACTCCTGATGGGAAATACCAATACAAAAGGCTGCCAATGGGTTTAGCCTGTGCTCCGTTTGAGTTTCAAAGACTCATGAATACCGTATTAAAAGGTTTGAATTATACGGAATGTCTGGGATACTTCGACGATATCCCTGTGATTGGAAAAAGTTGGAACGAGTTGTTAAAAAACACAAGTTTAGTTTTAGAAAGATTACGAGATTGGAATCTCAAGATCAAGACAGATAAATGTCGATTTGGTGTAACTGAATTAGTTTTATTGGGACATTTGGTTAATGGTGATGGAATAAGACCAGATCCTGATAAAGTCGCTGCTTTGAAGCAATTGCCGTACCCTAACAGTGTTAGACAATTACAGTCTCAGTTGGGTTGTTATAATTATTTTTCAAGATACATCAAAAATTACTCTAAACTTGCAGCTCCTTTGTATCGATTGGTATCGAAGGAAAGGAAATTTAAGATGCTCAAGGAAGATCATCAAGCGTTGGACGAGTTAAAAAACTCATTAATTGAAACAACTCTATTAGTGCATTTCAACCCTAAGTTGAGAAAAAAGATTAGCGTAGACGCTAGTGATGTAGCAGTTGGTGGAATTCTGTTACAAGAAGATGGAGATCAAGAAGTTCCTGAAGGATACGAATCCAGGGAAGAAATTCCGATTGAGAAAATTGAGTTTTGGAAACCTTTGTATTTCTTTTCGCAAAAGTTAGCGAAACACCAGTTAAGTTACTCTGTAAGCGAGAAAGAGTGCTTAGCAATTCTAGTTGCAATCAAAAAGTTTGATCATTATTTGGATGGAGATTTATTCCTGGTTGAAACAGACCATCATGCACTCTGTCAATTGCCAAAACTTCAATTCAAAAATCAAAGGTTAAATCGTTGGTCGATTATGATTTCTTCATACAAGTTTAAGGTAATCTATACCAAGGGAGACCAACATGGACCTGATTGTTTGTCTCGTTACCAGAACGAGTGGGATCATCGGAAAACAATTGATCCAGAAGCTGAGTATATTGAACATTTATATTTGATACAGTCACAAGACTTTGATGATGTTTCTAAACAAATTTCTGAACGTGCTATTTGTGATACTCAAGCTATTGATTCAGTGTTATGGAAAAGTTTTGAACAAATTTATCATTATCAATCAGATGAACATTGGAAAGTGAAGTTAATTGATGCTCAACGAGAAGATGATTCAATCAACAAAATCATCGATGAATTAGCTATTGACCCTAAGTCAAAGTTACATGAAAGTTATTTGTTTCTAAACAATTTGTTATATGCTAAACCTACAATTGGACATGACATTAATCGTGTGGTGATTAATGAAAAAGTTTTGAAAAAGTTGTTCGAAGAAGAACATGATTCTCCAATTGGTGGACACTTTGGTGTCGAGAAAACTTATCTGCAAATTTCAAGAAGATTTTACATGCCGCATTTATA